ATCCCGCCACTGGATCCAGGTCGGCTTGCCCTCCACAATGAGCAGGTTGTACGTGACGCCGTCCGCCTCGTAGGTAGCAGAGGGTGCCTGGAAGGGGACAAACTCCTTAGACCCAGCATTGATTGGCTGCCCCGGCCACCCCGTGCCGCATGCCTTACACATGAATTTGTAGTCCGAGTGGCCGGCATCGAGTCTGTGCATCCGCTGGGTGCCAATGCATGCCTTATTCCGCTGGAACTGTGAGGCCCAGACCTCCTCCTGCCGGATCTGGATCTTCATCGGAACATAGGCCTCCAGGATGCGAACCACCAAGTCCTCCGTGAGATTCTTACCGACAAACTTGTGGAACAGGGAGACCGCCTCCTCCACCGTGACGTCCCTCAGCAACGTGGCCGCCGATGCCGGAAGGACCGGGAAGAGGTCTGGGAGGTCCACTAGCTTGAAATAGCCAGGACGGCCATCCACCGGCACCAGGGAGACCGGTTTGTTCACCGGGGCCGTGGTCTTCTGGGAGGCCGCCACGAAGCCCTTCAGCCTCTTCGTTGGTGGAGTAGCCCGCTCCGTGGTGACCGCATCGCCCATCTCCTTGTCCTCGTCCTCGGCGGGGCCAGGGGCACCCAGGCCGGGAGTCGGTGTGGAGAAGGCCACACGGAGCCGCTCCAGTGCACTGGAGAGGTCGTTCATCACATCGGTGGCCGATGCCGACGGGGGCGCCTCGGGCTCATCCAACACCAGGCCGGCCGCCACAGCCGCCTCGCGGGTGCGGACTTCCTGGGCCTCCTGGCTGGCCATTTCCACCTCCTCCGCGGTGAGTGCCTGGTCCTCAATCAACTCGAAGGAAGTTGCCGAAGTCGCCGAGGAGGCCATTGCTGGTTCGGGGTTGGTTTGGAAGTGATTCCCCTCAATTTTTTCCACAAAGTTGGGTTCAGAGAACCCAAGAGCAAAGCTTGAGCCAAAATGGCCGGGGCCATTATGGTCAAGCATTTCAAACACAGTTCATGTTTCCACATGCGTTTCAACATTAACAAATTCTATTTTTTGTTTGGGGGGGGTGTCCCCCACGTACCGCGCGGCAATTTGATGACGTTCCACTAAACGTAGTCTTCGGGGAGCCGGTGTCGCAAAACAGGGGTCCCAGGCTCGATTCCCCCTGCCGGCTTGTTTGCTGGCTTGGGCTTCCTGCATCCTTTTGCCGAAAATCTGGAAAAACTCAATGTTTTTGGACGTCCTCTTTGCGAAAACACTGGAAAAACCGTGAAATACATACATACATGCATGCATGCATGCATGCATGCATACATACATACATACATACATACATACATACATACATACATACATACATACATACATACATACATACATACATACATACATACATACATACATACATACATACATACATACATACATACATACATACATACATACATACATACATACATACATACATACATACATACATACATACATACATACATACATACATACATACATACATATACATTACATACATACATACATACATACATTACATACATACATACATACATACATACATACATACATACATACATACATACATACATACATACATACATACATACATACATACATACATACATACATACATACATACATACATACATACATACATATACATACATTACATACATACATACATACATACATACATACATACATACATACATACATACATGACATACATACATACATACATACATACATACATACATACATACATACATACATACATACATACATACATACATACATACATACATACATACATACATACATTACATACATATACATACATACATACATACATACATACATACATACATACATACATACATACATACATACATACATACATACATACATACATACATACATACATACATACATACATACATACATACATACATACATACATACATACATACATACATACATACATACATACATACATACATACATACATACATACATACATACATACATACATACATACATACATTCCATACATACATACATACATACATACATACATACATACATACATACATACATACATACATACATACATACATACATACATACATACATACATACATACATACATACATACATACATACATACATACATACATACATACATACATACATACATACATACATACATACATACATACATACATACATACATACATACATACATACATACATACATACATACATACATACATACATACATACATACATACATACATACATACATACATACATACATACATACATACATACATACATACATACATTACATTACATTACATACATACATACATACATACATACATACATACATACATACATACATACATACATACATACATACATACATACATACATACATACATACATACATACATACATACATACATACATACATACATACATACATACATACATACATACATACATACATACATACATTACATACATACATTACATTACATTACATTACATTACATTACATTACATTACATTACATTACATTACATTACATTACATTACATTACATTACATTACATTACATACATACATACATACATACATACATACATACATACATACATACATACATACATACATACATACATACATACATACATACATACATACATACATACATACATACATACATACATACATACATACATACATACATACATACATACATACATACATACATACATACATACATACATACATACATACATACATACATACATACATACATACATACATACATACATACATACATACATACATACATACATACATACATACATACATACATACATACATACATACATACATACATACATACATACATACATACATACATACATACATACATACATACATACATACATACATACATACATACATACATACATACATACATACATACATACATACATACATACATACATACATACATACATACACATACATTACATACATACATACATACATACATACATACATACATACATACATACATACATACATACATACATACATACATACATACATACATACATACATACATACATACATACATACATACATACATACATACATACATACATACATACATACATACATACATACATACATACATACATACATACATACATACATACATACATACATACATACATACATACATACATACATACATACATACATACATACATACATACATACATACATACATACATACATACATACATACATACATACATACATACATACATACATACATACATACATACATACATACATTACATACATACATACATTACATACATACATACATACATACATACATACATTACATACATACATACATACATACATACATACATACATACATACATACATACATACATACATACATACATACATACATACATACATACATACATACATACATACATACATACATACATACATACATACATACATACATACATACATACATACATACATACATACATACATACATACATACATACATACATACATACATACATACATACATACATACATACATACATACATACATACATTACATACATACATACATACATACATACATACATACATACATACATACATACATACATACATACATACATACATACATACATACATACATACATACATACATTACATTACATTACATTACATTACATACATACATACATTACATTACATTACATACATACATTACATTACATTACATTACATTACATACATACATTACATTACATTACATTACATTACATACATACATACATACATACATACATACATACATACATACATACATACATACATACATACATACATACATACATACATACATTACATACATACATTACATTACATACATACATACATACATACATGCATGCATACATACATACATACAAACTTATGTACATGCATGCATACATACGAGAGAGGGAGATTGGGGAGAGAGAGGCTTGGGGGGATGGGGAGGATGGGAGCAGAGGGAGGGAGAGAGGACGACAGAACACACAAGGGAGACAAGGAAGAGAGGAAGAAGGAGAAAAGGGAGAGGACAGTGTCGGCGGACTGAGCCGGAGGCTCTAAAGTAACATAAGACAAAACTGAAAGAACACAGTGACTACAGCTCACGCCCTTTTGCTGAAAGGGGGGAACGCATGCGCCTGTGCCCTGTTCGCAGTGGTCAAGGAACCAACTACTGTACAGTGAAGGCAAGCCACAACAATCAGAGGTATGATGCAGTACAGGTCAAACGCAGGCTCCCCAACATATCGTTCGCACTCCAAATGCCGAATGTGAATGGGCCTGAATGAATTTGTACGGATTACATCACAGTGAAACTGAATGACGCTGGAAAGCATATGTGTACTTATACTTCATCCAGCGGGACCAATGTGTGGCCAGTCCCCCTCTATAACCACATGAACGCATGTGCCTTCAGTGCACACACACACACACACTCGGTCTGAAAGGTGCCGTGCATTCCCGCACAAATACCATGCAGGTGTCTACGCCAGTGATAATTCATGCTGGCCCGGGGCCTTCTTGCAGCGCATCAAACACTCCCAGCAACAAAGACGTGCCAAGTAAACGCATCAAACACCAACAAAATTCCCTCCCATGCCCTTGCGCAAGTCTCGCCAACGACAACTGATTGAAAACAGTCGGGCGATAGGGCTTTTCACAAACACTTCAGCACTATAAACACAACTGACTTCCTGAGTGGAATGGCCAAAACAAGCCCAAAACTTCTATTTACCGCTAACATAGTCCCGACCCCAAGAAAAAAACAAAGCCGGGAACCCAGGGAGTGAGACACTTGCAAGCGCAACCAGGTCTGCAACCCAATCCATGGCAACCAAGTTCTGCGCCTGCGAGGCAATGATGAAGACCTCCAGGACCTCCCCAAACTCGTTGAAGCACTCCTCTAGGCTCGCCCTTGGCATTCCGTTCCGGACCGACTTGGACGCCGGGCGGTGCCAGGAAGTGGCACGTGAGCCCGGATTCAGCAACAGGCAGGGTTTGCTCAGGCTGCACGAAACTCACAGGCCTCCATTGGGTTTCCTGCCATGCGGTCATCGGCTGAGGGCTTCACTGGTTTGTGGCTGAAATTTTCTAGGCGATCTTCTAACGCCCGAGCACGTGCAGTGGCGTCAGCAAAGGGACACCCTGAGATCAGGTGCTCATTGCTATGAACCATCACTGAACATGCGGAAACCGTCAAGTGGTTTTCTTTGGCTTGTGAATCTGTATCTTGAATCGCGCCAAAAAGAGTCTGGGCAAGGAAATAGAAGTTGGGAGTGGTATCAACGGAGCATAGTTAGCATAGTTTGGGCAACTCGAAACAAAGAGTCTGGGCGGAATGTTCTGCAAAAACCAAGCAAGAAGGGCATGAAGCAGGGTTCCTTATTTGCCCCCTTCAAACATGACGCCAAAGAAACACGCATTCCAACATGGGAACCATAGTTGAGGACCCTACTAGTCAAAGGACCCCGCTAGTGAGAGGACCCCTTGAAATAGATAAAATCCTTATCCAAAGGCGAACTACTCCTGACTAGTCTGGTCTTATGGTCCAATCCGAAGTTGACATGTAATTCACTACATGGTGAGCTACATGGTGAGCCCCAGGTCCGTACCGGCTCCCTTCCAACCACTAGCTAGTTCATGCAAGGAAAAAATACAAAGATTGATGCTCCTGGTGTTTCCAATGTTTTCCATTTCAGCCAATCCCAAAAAGGGCATCAACAACAAAACCACGAACCCAAATCTACGGAGCTCGTTTGGAAGATGTTCCTCCGATGCGCGCAGCCTACGAGATCCGAGGTGCTTGTTCACCTCCCGGGGAAGGCGACCCACGAAGAGCTTCACGCCGCCCTAGCCGAAAGCTCCACTCGGCTCATAGGATGGGTATGGTGTAGGTGCTACACTATGGCATTGTGGGACGGGGTGCTGCAAGCCCCAAATTCAGAGTGTAATTTGGCAAAGGACTTCAGACCTTTATAGGACCTTTATAGGACTTCAGACCTTCTTGCTCATAAACGCCGTAAGTAGGAATTCTGGCCAACAGTTGGCACACAGCCTCTGTCCAAGTTGATGCATAATTTGCCCGGAGGAAGGAGCTTTATGTGGAAAGCTATGTGGAAGGGTTGCTGACAAGTTGAATCACATGCTGCAACTTGATGTTCTTTGAAAGAGAAGGAGCGTAATAGTTGTTGTGCTTGGGGATCTGTCCTGACAGCAGCAAAGCTGCTTACAATGGACAACATGGATGCTCTTGCAAGGCTTTCTCCTTGAGTACTGCAAAAGGCTGTAGGTGTGATAACTGATGACCGCTGAGGAAAGGAGGAAAACACCTGGTTCTAAAACTGGGCGACGGGCAACGGCAACGAACAGCAACACACCCACACACCACAGAGCATTTCCTCTCAAGTTGAGCCCACACGTTGATCAGCTGAACATGTTCACCTATCAATCAACGGGTAATCAATTCAAGAACGTTTCTCAGACTTGTTCAGCTTCTGGCAAAAAAAGAAAAGAACAAAACTGGTACTCAATGCAAGAAACTGTTTTCCCCAGAGGTACAAAGCAAGTACTTTAAACAAGTGACAATACTAAGTCAATACTGGCAAGTGCATAGTTCGAGACTCCTGAGGGGGGGAGGGCTCTGACCCTCCCCCGCCCCACCCCACCCTAGCGGTTTGCCATATTGTATTGAGTCCTCTCAGTTCAGTAGTGACCACATTATTCTATCCAATGCATTGTTCATTATCTTAGTGTTGGTTGCCGCGGGGTTCACGTTGCCAGGCCGCTAGGTTTCGATTGGCATGGGCCCCATGAGCTTAGAAAGCAGCCGAGCCTCTACCCCAAGGTCATAGCTCGAACAAGGGCTGCCTGATACAAGAAGGAGAACACCCAACGCGGTGGTCTTTCTTTTGGTTTCCCTTTCAGCCCAAAAACGGGTACCTCCCCACCCCCAAACAAAAGAAGAAGAAACAAACACAGAAATAGAAACACACACGAGAACACCCAGGTCAGCGGCCCATTGGCCGCTGGCAGCTCTCGCAACCGGCTTGCGTTGCGTTTTTCCTCCGGCGCCCGCACCTTCTCTTTCTCGATCCATGGTCTGCGATCATTTGGATTGCTCCTGGCAGTCGGCAACGAGTGTTTTCAGAGGACCATCCGAAAACCAGTTGCTCAAATGACCAAGCAGAAACAGCAGCTCTGGCAACAATCACACAAACACATTACAACGACTCGACACATAAGTACAGACATAGACAGGTGTGTATGTATATATATATATATACATACATGCGCAAGCACACACACATACACTTGCACATGCACATGCACACACATACAAAAGCCCACGGCATGCGCAAGAGCATGACATGCATACACAAGCGAAATCGCATACATGTGTGCATACACAACACACAGCCACACACACACACACAGAGAACCCTGCTTGGGATGCCTTGACTGCCCTCACTCCATGATTGCATCCTCTCTGACAGAAAGGCTCGGATATGGCTCCCCACCACCCTCAAAGAAGTCAGACACGCACACAGCGTATCTCCACCTTCTATCATCCTGGTGTTGGTGTCAGGGACGGGGCGTCCTGAGTTTCACACAGGTGCATGCACTCCTTCTTTTTATATACTCGCACGTACATGCATGCAACTACACACAAATTGCACATGATATGCACATACACAAATACACAGAAGCACAAACACACAACACACACACACACAAAAACCCACACACACACACACACGCACACACACACAAACACAAACAAGCAAGCAAGCAAGCAAGCAAGCAAGCAAGCAAGCAAGCAAGCAAGCAAGCAAACACACAAACAAACAAACAACACACACAAACAAACGAACGAACGAATGAACGAACGAACAAACAAACAAACAAACAAACAAGCAAACAAACAAACACACAACCACACAAACAAAAACACAAACAAAACACACACACACAAACACAAACACACACACACACACACATAAACAAACAAACAAACAAACAAACAAACAAACAAACAAACAAACAAACAAACAAACAACAACCAAACAAACAAACAAACAAACAAATAAATAAACAAACAAACAAACAAACAAACAAACAAACAATAAACACACAATCAAACACACACACACACACGCACGCACGCACGCACGCACGCACGCACGCACGCACACACACACACACACACACACACACACACACACACACACACACACACACACACACACCACTCACACCACAACACACCACACACACCACAACACACCACACCACACCACGCAACACCACACCACACCACACCACACCACACCACAACACAACGCAACACAACACAACACAACACACACACACACACACCACTGCTGGCACCTTGTTGAACACAGCACTCATGTGATAGGCATTTGCGGGACGTATTTATATTATACGCATATGCATATTACACATGACATGCTTGCCATGAGCTTTATACGTTATATATTTATGCTATCTTAGATATGCGGTTAAAAGGCATGCACTTGAAATGCAACACACAACAATCTGCTCACCTTGTTTGTTGTTTACTTTGTGTACGACACGCACAATTCCAAGTCGCTTGCAGCAACAACTCTGCTGTTCTAGCACTCCCCGATCTTGACATTGGCTACTCTCTCGAAAAGACTGCCAATCATGAGTGCCAAACTTTGCAGCAGGAGTCAAGATACTTGGATCAAATCAGTCCTCTTACCGATAGCACCTGTAGGAAGATTCATTTTTATCAAGGAAAAAGCCCGTGCCAGGTGCAATGGCCACTGAGTACAGCTCGGCCGCCGAAGGATTTGGATATAGACGGGGTTGCAAACCTCCTTCTGGGTTGGCCGGTTTTATAATCCTATTGCCAAAGGTGGCCAAGTGCTTTGAACCGGAGACGGGGCCCAAAAGGTGCCGCCAAACAATATATCACCGAACGTGGGCTGAACAGCTCCCAGCCACCCCCCCATCCAACCAACCGACCCCTCCCGGCCCCCCCACCCACCGCCCCAACCAACCCCACCCACCACCCCACCACCCCCCTCCCCCCTTCCGCGCTTTCTGGACCGCGAGCGCGAGTGCCGCGGGGAGCGCCGTGGGGAGCTCTGCTGCCGGCGCCGCCGGCGTCGACCCCGAGGGGACCCGGACCTGCGACGTGCGGTTCTTGCGTGTGGTTCTTGAGGGCCCCCCCCTTTTCTTGCTGGTGCTCAGCAGGGATGACCCTTATAAACCATCCAACTGGTGGGTTCCTTTGAATGAATCCCTGGGTTCATTCCCACATTCTCTACTGAGCGCCAGCAAGTTTTCGGTGGTTTCAAAGGGACTCCAAAAGGACAGTCACCATTTTTGGAGCGCCCTAAGAGAAGATACACCCTTTTCGGCCTCCCAAGGTTTCAATAGTTGTTGCCTCTGCTCCCTCTACCATGGATGACAGCAAGTGTTACCCGCTTCTCATATTCAGCCGATGGTTTCATGAGTGACCGTGCTTCATTTCTGGGGGCAATGATCCTAATACTGCAAACATGTGTCCGAAGCAAAGCAAAACAGTCACTCAGTCTCACTCATGTGCAATATCCGGAGGCGGCCATGACTGCCGTCCATCTTTCTATATCCAAGTGCGCACCGCTTTTTTCAGTGTTTCTCTTGACTTCCAGCACTCACTTGCATATTGGCGAAGACCACAAACGCCAAAAGTTGTAATCTGGCGCCTTTTGGAACTTTAACGTTGCCAACATGGGGGACCCCAAAAAAGCAACCCTGTACAAAACACAAACACCCATGCGGAACCTTTGCAGCTAATCCATCGGTGCCCACAAGCACATGAAGCTCTGAGGTGGCAGCCAGCCGCGGCTTCTCATCCCGCCTGGGTCCAAATCTTGGCGAACACACGCCAGCTCTGTCGACGTGTTTTCACTACAGCCAAACAACGGAGGTATCCATCCTGGCTCCAATGACATTTGGAGCTGTATCGCAAGGCGATCTTGGAGATCTGTCCCCTGAAGTGCAATGTGCTCACGGCCCCAGGGAGGCCAGCTGCCAGCCGATTTCTGGGTCCGAACTGGGCAACCCGCGGGTGTTTGGTTTCAGGGCCAAGAGGTCTTGAAGGAACCAGTTTGAACTGGTGTTTTTGCTATTTTGTTTGGGTGGAATCCAGGAAGCAGCTTGAAGGGCTGCGTCTGCATCGAGGTGAATCCGCGCGTGTTGATCGAGGGGTTCTGAAGTTGGAACCAAGCTGGTTCAGGCAACTTATTACACGGGCATAGACAATTGGGGCCCAAATAGTCAGAATAGGGTTGCGGGGTACGTGCTCATGATTACAGTGGTAAACCAATAGAAATTATGCAGCCCCTTACTATATCATGAATATGGTTTCCAAGTCCGCCACAACCCGATGCTAATGTTTCGGCCAGCCCCTGAGGTTTGCGTGCGCCCCGAACCAACGCCCCGACACAAAAACCCTAATCCTCAACCCTAAAAACCAGAAACCTAAACCCTAAAAACCAGAAACCTAAACCCTAAAAACCCTAAACCTAAACCTTAAAACCCTAAACCTAACCCTACCCAAACCCTAAACCCTAAAAACCCTAAACCCTAAAACCCTAAACCAAAACCCTAAAAAATCCCAAACCTGCTTGCAGAAACCTAAGCCCTAAAAACCCAAAACCTTTTCCCTAAAAACCCTAAACCTAAACCCTAAATCCCTAAACCTAAACCCTAAAAAACCCCACACCTGCCTGCTACCCACGCCCTCGTGGTACCACGGCCCCACGTTCTGAAGAGAAAGCAGGTCACCACGCGTCACGAGTTCTGCTACTTGAGTAGTAAAGGGTGCCATACAAGGGTGGACTAGGGGGTGCCGGCAAACCACGGGGGCTGTGGGTAAAGTGTCTGTGTTCCTTATAATTTGAAGCAGTCAACTCTTCAAACGACAACCGCAACAAGAACACGAGTCTAGAGATAGCTGATGATTTGGGCCTACTCCGAATACGTTTTTTCCTTGAGACATGGGATGCCCAATCATTTGGCAGTTGGCAAGGAGTCCATTTGGCAGCCACTACTTAAAAGCAGGTGCGCAAGTTACTTTCATGTATTTCGCTAAACTGCACCCTAACTATCGACTGAAATTGCAGGATCACTTCTACAGTGACTCCTCTGCTCACAATTAGTCAATAAGCGCAATCACTTACCTGAGGATGTCCGAACACTTCCTTACATTCTTAATATGTCTGAAGAGGAAATAGTCTTAACTCTACTGTCACCCATGTTTACTTGCTGCCAACATGATGGAAACGCTCGCTTTCAATTCGCTATGCTTGCTTGCTGGCAACATGCTGCCAACAATGCTTGCCAACATGCAGCATGTGCTGCCAAACACACAGCATGTGCTGCTTAGCATGCAGCTCGCCAAGATAGCAAGTGGCTCGCCAAGTGGGGTATAGCCGCCTAAGGTTAACCCCACTTAGGGGTCTAAGTGGGTTATCACCTAGGTTACAAACAGGCTTTCTAACTTGGCCGAACACCCAAGATGGACCAAACAGGGAAGGATTTGATGCATGTCGAAACGCTGTACTGCATACCCTTCAATACCTCGCCCAACCGACCGAGCTAGATGTTTCCATTCCTCGCCGAAAGAGACAACCCAAACCTCCAGTTGCGTAATTTTTCGGGGGGAAAAAAGAGACATATGTTTCGAATAGTGATAGATTCCCTTCAAAGCCTCCAGAACCAAGGACACGCATACTCTTAAGCAGATGAAAGCGAAGGTCGACTCTCAAACCAGCGAACTTCGGGGCGAAAAAAGCAGCGCCCTTCCTTCCGGGCGGCCGCCGAAGTGGCTCGGAGATCTGCTGCCTGCAAAGTCTGGGTCTGGGAACCGTGTGCATTTTAGAGGGTAGCCAGGGGGCAAAGAAATAAAATACGTAAATACACCAAGATATTTTAAACATGATCCCCCCCTTCCCAAACCTACAAACACTACATGGAAACTGAAGATGGCAATATTTCTTCAGAATATTGAATCTTGAGAAACGTGACTTTGAAGCAACTTCCAAGAAACCATTCAAGAATCTCCAGACATCTTTTCCCCCGCATCTTGAATCTTGTCCACTTGTAGTAGGGAAATGGCAGCTCCAATTCAAAAGCACGCAAGTTTCAGTGGAATAATATCACACAAAGCACACGTTGGCAGCTTCAACGTGCCTGCGCAAACTCCGTCATCGCTATTTAACTCTTCTCGTTTTGCAGGGGACATCGGCAAACCTTCACTGTTGGGCAAAGGATTTCATTCCGAATCTAAAATGTTCATTTAAATTTTATAGATCCAAACCAACTATAAAGGTATTCCATGCCCTTGTGAAGGTCCACTTACTTTCTGCACTTCTATTCATATGATTGCACTTACATTCCAATTCAACTCTATTAACTTCACAGTCTATCGAATTTATGCGTTGTCTAGTTGTCAATACCATTGAACATGTAACATCTATTGACCAAACGAAGATCCAATTTAGGGTGTTGGTTCAAGTTGAGAGCAAACTTGAAATTCGGACCCCCCCAAATGGAATTCGATGTCCCTTTCGGTTTCCATCTGAAACAGGGTGCCCAACACATAATGGCCATTTTCCAGCCTGCTGGTGATGCACCGACTCGCCGTCTTCGCCGCCTGGCATTTCGGACGTTCGCGACTGGGGGTACTGGAAGACCGTGTTCCTCAAGGATGTCTTCTGGGAATTTTCATGTTTCAGGGCGGGAGGGCAAGTCTTGTCTTTACACTCAGCCAACGAATTCCCTCACGAGGTCGTTGGTTGCTTGCTTATCTTGAGGCTTTTATGTAGTCTGTTCGAGACCCACTGCATGTCTTGACTTGCTGCGTTGTAGCCAGCTACTGGTTTCAATTTGCGTTGGTAGCCAAAGGGTTGCTAAGAATCCTCTGCAGCGGCCAAAGCTCGGGTTGCTGCCTAATTTGCTAGGGCCGACAGAAGGCACCAAACACCTCAATTCCGCACATAGGTCGCACATAGGTTTGCACCTGGTCGGCCTGAAATATCATGCAGAAGTACCATCTACAGCAGCCATGCATGACGTAATCAACCCTTGAAATGGCTTGTGACAGCGTAGCCGATTCGGATTTCGGGAGTTTTTCGTTTTGGACTCCCCTTGAACCTGCAAAACCCACACACGCACAACCCAGCCTGTGCGCAACAACCCCCCTACCTCAGCCACGGGCCAGGCAGAGTCACCGAGCCCAACTTGGCCACTGGCAATTGGATGGGGTAAAGTTATACACCTCCAACATGGGGTTTGCATAGGATGATACCTCTATAAGATTTCACAACGCAATGTTCAGTTTGAGGTTGTTGGCCTCCTTCTGGTCCGAAACTGAAACTGTAGAGGCTTCCGCTTCCGAGGTAGACATCTTTCGACTGCCCCGGTTCGATGACAAACCAAACTGTTGTCCGCTCGTTCCCTCGTCCCCGGCCTCTTGCGTGGCTCCTGTGCACTGATGTGCAATCGGGCGCGAAACGAGGGAGCTTCTCACGACGAAGACCGGCGATGCGATTTACTGCTGGCTTCCTAACTTGCCCGGGTGGTTCGGTGGCAGTCCCTTTTGTTGCGGCTGACAAATTCTACAGAGGGGTCAAGTTCAAAGGTTGGAACTTTTAGCTGCAAGAGAATCGCCCACTAAGGCTTGTATTTTGGTTGTGCTGGAGAGCGAGGGGAAGTATTGTCTACCTAAACTTGCTTTCAGGTGTTGAAAGTAGGCAATCCTAGGTTGCTCAGCATCTGGGTCTTCCCAACTTTGATGGTTCAAAGCAAGGTTTGGCCGTTTGCTACTATGTCTGTTGCTTCCAATGCTTGCTTTGCGTTTGCTAGAATTGTGAAGCTGGTATTTGTTGTTTCTTCTGGTGTGTGGATTTGCAAAGGTGTGCACTTAGTTGGCTCTTGCGAGCCACATAATCGTCCGAATTCTGAGTTCGTTCGAACCAGCATCAATCTCCATCGCTTGAAGAAAGCTTGCTGTGTGTTGAGTTCTCCTTGCTTTAGCAATTTAGAGGGCAGGTACCGATCCGGATTGCTTCCGAGACCAATTCTTTGCCACAGGACCCTGTTTCTCCCTCGATTCCCGTCGGGTCCGCCCCCACCAGCATATTCCCAGAACCTCGTCCACACGGCTGCGGCTGGGGAATTTGTGCCAGGTCGACGTGTTCCAAGTTTGGCATTTGTTGAGATGCATAACCTGCTCGCCTCTGATAGCTGGCACGCGGAAACGGTTCCAGTGTGTGTCTAAACACTGCTCCCCTGCAAATCAACATGGAACCCAAGAAGGGAGTCCCCGAAAGGAGATACGAGGACTGGGGAACGCGGCTTTTTTCTGTTTTGCTCAGGTATGGGGGCAAGGACACTGTCATTGACAAGAACAAACAGAAATCAGATTCAGCTGCTACAACGACTCCACCGTTCAATCCAACGTATTTATGATGAACACTTTGCATCAAATACAGCACTTCCCTAAATCAAGCTAATGGCTAAATTAAACCAACGCAGCACGACACCCACACACCCACATGGGTGTACCAAAATTCACTTTAGGGGGTCCGACTCCTAAAGAAAGAACCGCCCCACCACCCCGTTGGGAAAATGCCTCGTCCGGTGGGGATGGCGATGCCGGCAATCGCCGGGCCATGGCGAAGTGTCCTCAAAGTATTGGATTTTTTTGGGGGGTTGGTTTAAAGGGAAGGGGAAGCCAAAAGGACAACCACTAGTTAAGCACTTTACACACAAATCCAGAGCAATCTCCATGTTTGGGAAAGCCCTTTGCGGGTGACATGATCATTTTGAGAGCGCTGTGATTTTCTAAAACATATCTGAACTTGGAAAGGCAGTGAGAAGCGCAATGCTTTTTGACAAATCACTTCTCTGGGGCAGCACTACTGGGGTCGTTGCTTTGACTATTTCTGGGGGTAGTCAGAAACTGGCTGGTGGCTTCCATTTGACCTAAAACTTAGAGGTTGACATTGATGGTGAAATTATGTGGCCAGCACCAGGGTGCAAACAGAGGCCATTGGTTTGTCGACCCTTCTGCCAAGCAGCCGCCGAATGATTCCGGTCCTAGACATGGAGTGCCTTTCTTTGCGTACCTCCGAACGACCGCTGTTGATATGTGATATAGTCTGATGCGTAGATCTGACAAAGTGCCGCGTAATCTGTGGCTTGTCATGCTGATGTTTGACGATTTCGAGTGCTGTGTCCTCGAAAGAGGAAGGTAGTAGAGAAAGCAGTAAACCCAGCAACGCGCATGATAAAGTCTGCAGCAGCATTTTCTCTACGTTCCTTGCATCTTACCTTGGTTGCTGTCGTCCCCTCTGCAAGAAGTTTTATTTCTCTGGGGTTCAATGGAAAACCCAACATATTTCCACCCAAAAGTTTCCGTCTAAAAGGTCCAATCCAATAGCAATCAGGCTTCTGCCAATGGCATTCAGATTTGGAGCAAATGTTTCGCGACGGCTGAGATCGTCCGCGAGACTGGCACAGCTGGATGTGACTTTCTCGACGCAAAGGTATCCTAAACCGCTCGAAACCCAAGACTTTACAACGCGAAGACATGCTCCACACACCATGAACTACACATCATTGATGACCTGCAACCCCATGCAATTGTAACTTGGCTTGTTTTGCAGCTTGTGAGTTACTACCATCCTTCCAGTAATCATGGAAGTGGACGGTGGGCGAGATTTGGAGTACCATGCGCTTGAGGCCGAAAGCGTGCTTTCCAAGGCCCTGCCAGCTTCCACTAAAGGGAGGGTACCGTTGGGCAAAATTAGATGGCACAATTCACATGTTCAATCATCTCTTTTACTCCCCCACATGGGTGTGAATTTTGATGGGGCACCCTGATTCTGCCCACCAACCACTTCTGAGGTGGTTCCCTGAAAATTCGTAGCCACATCTATTGGGCATTGCGGCGTCTACTTTCACTCACTTCCTGGACTGGCCAAAGAAAGTCCAGACTTTAAAGTGGCACTCCCCCCAAAAAAAATATCGATGAACTCCAGACGTGAGTTCACCACCTGAAAGACAAAAAAGGGTGAACAAAAAAAAAACACATCCAGCCGTCCCCCGTCCTCGGCCTTCGGCCGGTGACAAGACACCCGCTTGAGCCGTAAGCTCAAGGCGTGGCCCAGATGGTCGGTGTCCCTTCCAACAACGCAGAGGGACCTCCCTAAGAAGACACTCCATGGAGGAACATGGGTGTGGCTCAAAACTGCAGGGGCTCTGCAGACTTTTTCTTTGGTTGCATGTACCAAGGTGCCATTTTGGTACATGTTTGTGAGCCACAGGCACATGGGGACCCCTCATATATAGTGAAACGTGGCAACAGAACCTGAGGGTTGTTTGTGTCCTAAGAGTTTGGGGGAGACAGGGAGCGACTGCACGTTTGCAGGAATTCTGTGCGGCGACCTCGCATGAGGTGCACATGCGGTTCAAGGTGTCCAGCATGCCGAGTGTCAAATTCAAGTTGTCACTTTCTGCAGCCCTGGATGTGTCCACGCATTTGGGGTGCATCTTGGGACTGTGGAACCAGCTGAGAGTAGAATGTCAGAACAATGGCCTCATGTGCAATTGCAGTGGGCATCACAAGCTCAAAACACGCTGCTTCCGTGAGAAGAGTATCAGTCCTTAATCCAGGATGCAGAATGGGAGAGAGAGAGAGAGATACGCAAGTATCTGCAAGGTGTGTTCTCTCATGTTGAGACTCAAAAGCTGGTTGTCTTCTTCTAGCCATGCTCAATCTCTTGCCCGTCACACGAGGGCAGATCTTGGACAAACATGCACGGAGCCTGAAGCTTGCGCATCTGAGACATCCATGCCATGGCCATGGCAGCTGCTTCTTTGGCCAGCGGTGTCTTTGCCTCAACGGCTATGAATGCACCATGGCCCATCAACTCAGCCACATATCAAGTACAGCTTTCTGACGATGGCAACAGCTTGATCCCTTGCTCGCCGGCACCCCCGCTGGATTCATTCATTACATACGTCCCATCTAATCCAACCCAATCGAGCGCAAGTGATTCGTTTCATGAACAATTTCATCTATCCACACAGTCTCCCCCGAATGTTCACCGTGCCTTCACCCGAGCCCCAAATTTGCAATGCAGCACTCTCCTGCTCGGGGTCATAGAAACTCCAGCCACTGTCAGGCTCCTGATTTCCGGGGACGAAGGCTCGGAGCGATTTCGGGCCACGTGGTTTTGGCGGCGGGAAAAGTCTCCAGAGCCACTTCCCAACCACAACCGACCTGCGCGTCTCGAATGGGCACAACCTTGTGCCCAGTTTGCCAGTCAAACTGAAGAGCTTGTGCAAGTGTTCGATGTTGATTCGTGGGATCCTTGCTCAGCGAGCACGCACAACCCAGAACTCGTCGCTCGGAGACAAGTCCTGATGTGACCATGTTGATGCACACGTTTCCCACATATACATCCAACCTCATTCTTGAAACCAAGCCGAAACTTGCTACATCCAGCCAAGCCAACCGAGCCAGCATCCTACACATCCGACAACAAAACCAACAAACCACACTTTGTCCGAGTCAGTCAGCGACCGACACGCCATTCAACACCTCCGTCTCCTTCAGGAGGCCCTGGTTCTTGAGGGCTTCATGGTGCGTGAAAGCAAAGAGCATGGCCGGGTTTCTGAGCGGAGATGAACCCATGCAATTCCCCATGCCACAAAGCTAAGGAGTCGACCGTTGGGTTTGCGAGCTGCAAGCTGCGGAATGGCTTAGGCTGAAGGTCAACACTCAAATAGCGATGAACAGGATGAAAGGCGTCCAGACAACTGGCCGACCGTGCAAGAACTGGAACATGTCGCCCTTGCACGCATGAGAACATCGAGGGTCCCCTGTTGCCCAATCACATTATGCGACTCTATCCTACTGGAAAATCTGTCTTCTTTAAGACTAGCCAACAAATATCTTCAGATAAGCAGGTATCTACACACAAAGGCTGCGTCACATCCGCGCCTCTCACAAACACATGTATATGTATATATGGTACAGCGTTGCCAGCCCCCCCCCTCCCCCCCAATGGTCATGGGTCAGACAAGTACCCCCCCCCCCCTGTGGTTGTGGTCCTGTGGTTGGGTTGTGGTGGTTTAGGGTTGGTTTAGGGTTGGTTTAGAATTAGTTTAGGGTGTATTTAGGGTGTATTTGGGGTTAGTTTAGGGTTGGTTTAGGGTTGGTTTATGTTGATTTAGGGTTGGTTTAGGGTGGTTTAGGTTTAGAGGTTTACGGTTTGGGGTTTGGTTTAGGGTGTATTTAGGGTTGGTTTAGGGTGTATTTGGGCTTGGTTTAGGGTTGGTTTAGGTTTAGGGTTTATTGTTTAGGGATTGGTTTAGGGTGTATTTAGGGTGTATTTAGGGTTAGTTTAGGGTTAGTTTAGGGTTGGTTTATGTTGATTTATTAATTTAGGGTTGGTTTATGGTTGGTTGCGGGTTGGCTTGTCCTGGGGGTGGGGGTGCCGGGGTGTCGGGGTGTCGGGGTGCGAGTTTAGGGGGTCGGGGTGAGGGTGGGACCGTAGGTGCCAGGATCCGGGGGCTCGGGGTCTCGGGTTGGGGGGGGTCTGGGGGGCCCATACCATCTGGGGGGGGGGGGGGTAGCAACACGGAACACGGGACCATATATATATATATATGTATTACATACATAATATATTCATATCTAATATATAAATATATATATATATATATATGATGCATAGTATTAAGTAGTGCCCCCATGGACCTGCGCTCTGCAGAGATTTGTTCAAACAACCGCTCAGTTCTTCAATCCTGACTCCAAGACAATCAAGTTTTTAGGGTGCTTTGGCTGGCCAGGATTCGATCCAGTGGATTCAACATTGCCCATGTTTGTGAATATTGATTGGGGAAGTACCCAGTTAGACTCCGTTTTTACAGAGGGGAACAACATAGGGACCATGCCAAGTGAATGAGTATTTTCTGCCAAGGCGGCGCTGATCCATATTTTGTGAAACACGTTCCCGCTACTGGCGTGGCTTAATTCATGCTTAATTAAGAAATGGAATAGGCCAAGGAACTCAAACCCTTTGTAAACTGAGGTTGACTCCGAAACAGCAATTCCACTAGAAGTGCTTCTCCAAATCTGGATTTCATGGGACTTACTAGAACTACAATCTGTTTCATTGAATTAGATACGCATCACATCTAATTCCCGCAGTTGCATTTGAGCTTAAACACAACTGAGTTGGAATTTAACTGGAATCGAGATGAACCATTTAATAGTTTGATAGGAAATCAGTTTCAAATAGCAATTTTATTACATTTGATGTGATATGGTCTTCAGATAGAAATTAAATGAATTTGTATACGTTTTTCAACATTGAACTGGATGTTAATTTCAACCAACAATCCAGGTAGGATACTCTTCTTTAAAACTGTGGTGTTTGATACAATGTGATTGGGATTCAACTGCAAAGGGAGAGCTCGTGTCCCAAGCCCCAAATTCACCATAGCAGGTCCAGGGTCCCTAAACTGGCGGGTAAACCACCCAAGGCACTTGCCAAATAAGACGCACCGGGCCCCACACCCGTGAATCCCTTAAATTCTAAGAATCCAAGTGGCCCGGGCATGCCGAAGGAGCCGATGCTCTCCTGAAGGGTGCGCAGATCCTGGCAGAGATTTCTTGGAGTGCATGGACCACACCTGGGCAAGTTGGATCAGTTTGGGCTTGTCTCAAAGGGACACCCCCAGCAAAATGTGTGGCTCAAAAAGGGGTTCACAGAAAATGACTAAACCATATCTAGTCT